CTTTTAAGGTAGTTTAATCCATAATCTTCAGTGGCCTCCACCACTTTAAATGCCACTTTGACACCATCTTCAGATCATGTCATCTCTACTATTAAAGGAGATCCAATTTAGACAAATATAATGGCTTCTAAGGCAATGCAAGCTTCTCTCAACCTCCTCTTTCAAGTCACAATACCTCTTCCTTTGAAGGAGGTTTGAACTAACCATCATTAATAACCTCCATACCTTTTAACACCATATTGACTAATGCATGTAGGTTATATCATCTCCACCACTAATAAATTTTAATTTAGTTATCTTTCTCGGCCTCTCCGACCTATTAGTTCCACTTGATTATCTACTTTAGGTTGTGTTATCTCTACTAATTTAGCTATTTTTAATGTCATCCATGATTTTCTAATGTTGCATTGATGAAAGTCTTAAGATTACCTCATTTGCATTTTCATTGGAATTTTGATGTGATTTTTTATAATGACCTCCATGATTTTCTAAGGGGTATCAACCGCCACATATTGGTCATGTCACCTCCACATCCATGGGAGGTTCGGTTTGTCAATATTTAGTCATTTCCATGACCCTCGAGCACCACCGTGATGAGCACCTTTAACTTATACGGCTTTTACCTCCACGTGAGGCTTGATTCAACCAACTTTAATAGACTGCATGACATTTAGTGTTGCCTCAAATGACATATTGTATTCATGTTTCATGCACCTTTAAGAGACGGATCAACCCGTCACCTTAAATCAAATCCATAACCTATATGTCTCGTCACTTTTGATCGTTAGACATCAAACTATCCATTTTGCACTCATAAGAAGGACCAATTTAGTCATTTCAATTACCTCCACAACTTTCCCGCTTCACCTTGTTTAACGACTCAAAGCCATCCTAACTTCACCTCTAAGAAGACGAATAATGTCATAACCTCCATCTACCTAATAAACTTTATTGTATAAATCTTTTCGCCCCCCTCATTAAAAAAATAATTCCACCATCGAACGTAATCATCATTAAGATGGAATCATCTCTCTCTCTCTATCTCCACCAACATGATGAGATTTGTGGGCCCCAAAAGAACACCCCCTCCATATAAAATTGAAAGTATTCCCCCTACCCATTTAGCTTATTACATCATTTTATATACTTCTCTTCAAGTTTTAAGTGACAGATAGATAATTTTTTTCCTTTCACAGATTCAAAATTTAAACTCTCCAATCAGCAAAAATATTTTCAATTTAACTCTTTCAATTGGTTGCAATATACTTCTCAACACATTCTTATAAAGCTTATTTAATAAGAAAATCTCAAAAGTAAAAAAAAAAAAGAGCAAAAGTTGCAAACAAAGATAATTAAAAGTTAATTAAGCACTAATAGTCTCCCGGCAGAAGACCATGAAAGCTGCCAATGCGACATTCTTCACCTTTAATCGAGGTGGTGTTAGGTGTAAAGCATTGCTTAAGAGGGCACAAAGGCCTTTAATGAAGAATATAATAAAGCTTAATTAATAAAGGTGAGTAATTAAAAATTGTATTAGCTCAGTGGCATGCTCCCTATTGGAGATATTAAATGATTTCTCTTTGTGGCAACCAATGCATGGAGCAACCAAATCAATTAAAAAATAATTATAGAAAAAAAAAGCAATTGGGTGGATTGGAAGACTAATAATGTCCATTGATGCATGATAAGATCTTGAGCCAATTTAATTATGGCTTAGTGTGTGTATATATATATATATATATGGGTGTCAATATTTGTCACGGTCTGAAAATCCGACTCGAATCCAATCCGAAAATTCAAGATTATGGTCAACTAGGGGTTTAAACGTGTCGAGTCGAGTTGAAGCCCTTATCGATCTCGGCTCGTCACTTGGAAAGCGAGCTTGAACTCGAGCTCGATAGGCGAGCTCGAGCTGGCTCGCTAGCCATGGGCGAGAATTTTAAAATTTAGGCGGGATTTTTAAAATTAGGTGAGATTATTAAAACTTAAGCGGGATGGTTAAAACTTGGTCAATTTTTTTTTAAAGATGAAATATTTAACATTTAAATAAAACTTAAGTTGTTTTTATTAAATTTTATAATATTTAAATTTAATATATAAAATAAAATTATTTAAAAAATATTAATATTTATTTTAAGCAGGCTCGCGAGCTCACGGCCAAGCTGACTCGAGCTCGCGAGCTCGTGAGCTTGATAAGCTCGACTCGCGAGCCCATAAACAAAATCGAGCTCGAGCGGCTCGTTAAACTAACTCTGCTCACTTACACCCCTAGGGTCAACCAGGACCCGAAACAGATTGGATTCGGGTTCAACAAATCGACCGATTTTAAAAACTAAGCTGGGTTGACCCAGTAACCCAAAATTGACCCGTTTTGACGTGCTAACCCTTTTTTGACCTGGAAACCCAAGATAAAACGATTTTTTACCAGAAAATCGGAGATTGACTCATTTTTTACCAAAAAATTAGCAATTTTTGGTCGGTCCTGGACGTTATTCAGGTCGTGTCGGGTTCGAGTCTGAAAAAAGCCACCTGTTTGCAAAAATTAGGTCGGTTCAGGTTGACCCGAATAGTGACGGTCAGTTTCGGATTCGGACTGTGACCTTGAAATGACACCCCTAATACATGTAGTCTATATTTTTATTACATCATCTGCAAAATACTTCAAAAAGTATGATTCTAAATGATGAAAAAAAAAAAAAAAAAAAACAAAGACATTTTCTTCTTACAAAATAAGAAGAAGCATATATAAAGAGCCAGCATGCATGAATGATTTGATTAATAGGGTCAATATATCCAGCTAGTCTTACAAACTCTTTTGGATCAAAACAACCTCTAAACTAATTAAGCATATTAAATTTTCATCTGAGCCATTAAAAAAAAAAAAAAACTCATGGAGTTAATTTGCTTCAAATGAATGAATGATACTCCATAGGATTTGTAAGATATGTAATGTTATATGTACTTAATATGAAGGTTATTCTAATATGCTTGACTACTTGGGTCATGTCATGATAAGCAATTTGACTATTGGTGACTTAGGAATCTACTTTTGTTAAAAGGTTTAGGCAACCCAAAATGCTTGTATTCTTATATTAACATGAATAGAGTGTTTGCTCTTTTAGTTTAAAAAGAGTTGCTTAGAGAGTTCATGCGTGATTTTCTCTAAAATTTTTGAAGCAGCTTTTTAGTACATAAATTTTAATTTTTGTACTAAAAAATTGCTTTAAGAATTAGTAAGAAAGTCTTAGATTGATTTTAAGGTTGCTTAAAATTTTCAATTTAATCTATTAAAAATGTAAGTTTTATTAAGGCCTAACAACATTGATGTATCTAAACAAATAACATATCATTAATAAAGATGAAAATCACAAAAGCACATGAAAATCATTTTAATAAATAATATGCAAATTATAAGAGAATGTTCAAATAAGCTAGGTTTTAAAACACCCTAATAAAGGGGGGAAAATATAAAACAATTGGGATATGCATACATATAATCAAGTTCTAAATCTATATAGAAATATTAATATATATAGAGAGAGATGCATTTTTAAAGTACAATGAATGATCTTTTTTAGCTCCTTGCTCTCCATAATTTTCTAATTTGATGTATATTGGTGTATTCATGCTAATGCTTTGTGCACATTTATAAAGCTTTCATAATCTAGAAAGTAGATAAGCAAGCAAAAATATAGAGGGAGCATTATATATACACTTTTATATATACCTTCAACAATGAATGCAATTACAACTAAAATATAATGGATAGCCAATCATAATTACAACACATGATATAATGAAAAACCAAAATTAAACTAGGACTTATCATAGACTAAGGTTTCGTTTGGGTCAGCTTTCTTACTACTTCTTAAAGTAGCTTTCTAGTACAAAAAATAAATTTTTTGTATTAAAAGGCTATTTTAGAAAACAGTAATAAAGTTATCCAAAAGGCTTCGTTTGAGAAGTCTTTAGAACACAGGTTTTTTCAGAAATTTTTGTACTAAAAGTAACCTTACAAAGTAGTAAAAAAGTTGTCCAAAATGAAGCCTAATTTCATCTAAAGCTATGCCTATCATAACATCCAATATGTACTTGATATATGTGATTAGCTATTCGTTTGGGACGGCTTTCTTAGTACTTTTTAAACAGCTTCTTAGTACAAAAATTAATTTTTTTTTTTTTTTACATTAGGAAGCCACTTTAAGAAGCAATAAAAAATCATCCCAAATGAAGCCTAAATAATCATTTCAAATGATCAAGATAATACCACCAAAACTAGTATTATATCAAAATTTGAAATACACTTAGGCCATACCATCTCAACTTATTTGGCTTTAAGAAACTTTTATTTGAAAATAATATATTTATAAATTTGAAGCCATCAATGCATATGCTCCCTATCTCTACGAAGGTCAAACCCTGATCGTTCTTCTTCTTTATTCTCAAAAGAACAATCAAGCAGCTCACTAGCGATCTTCCGATAACATATCAGGCACCAAAGGCTCGTATTACTCGCACAATGAAAGTCACCATCCACATTATGCATACAATTATAAAGAATGATATTATTTATAACTTATGAATCAAATCAAATAGGCTATACATCCTTATCTATTTTTTTCTTAGATTTTTCACATAAAAACCCTCATATTCATCATGCATTACTCTCAATTTAATTATTTGTGCATGTATAATTTTTTAAAAATAATATTAAGACGAAAAAAATTCTATTTTATTATGAAAATTTCAGTACATTATAATATAATTACATGATAATAATAATATGTATATTAAAATACAATATTATAAGCAGTCCAACCGAATCATAAATGCCATGAACAAAACAGCCCCCAAACAATTTTATATTTGCAAATTACAATTTTAAATTCTCCTCCTTACAACTGCTAACATGGCCATCATATCCAAGCGGCGCAAATTCAAACACGTTCTTAGACAGAAGAAGATTAAAACGAAATAGCTAAATTAAATTAAAATGTAAATAAGGAAACACAGCTGAGAACTTTTAATCTTAATAAAAAAAAATTACTTTTTAAACTGTGAAATAAGAATTAATTCGACACAAAAAAACTACGCAGGGATCAAGATGTAAAAAATCCAGAAGAAAAAAATTCCATTAAAAGTGGTGGAGAGTGGGAGAAGGCAAAAAGGAGTACAGCGTACAGGAGGAAGAAGAGCTTCTGCATTTTCAGCACCCAATCGCAAAGGCGTTTCCTTTTTCGTGATATATCTTTCTTTTACCGCACCAATTTTCTTCTCGGTTTTCCGCTGCTTCATCACAGAGCACTCGTTTGATGTTTGCTGAAATTCCCCGAAGAGCTTGATGTCGCCGCCACTTGAACTCGACTACATAGGACTTGCTGATGCGTCCTCTACCAATATGCTTGCTGCTGGTGCGCGAGAGAATCTTCGTGAAACGGAGCTCCGGCTAGGCCTTCCGGGCTCCGAGTCGCCGGAGCGCAAGGAGAAAGTGGGGTTCGCACTCTGCCTACAGATTCCCAAGGGCTTCGCTTCCGGTGCTAAGAGAGGGTTTTCTGACGCCATTGATGGAAATGGAATGTGGGCTTTGTCCGGGAGTAGCGGATCTGAGGTGGAAATGGAGAAAGGCGGCACCTTGTTCTCGCCTAAAGTTGGAGGAGGAGGGCAGTTCGCTGGTGCCGGGAAGGCAACGGCATCGCAGGAGAAGAAGACGCAGAGGCCGCCGGCTGCGAAGTAAGTTTATGGTTTGTACTTTGTAGTGTTTTGAGGTTGGAGAATAGGAAATGGTAGCTCAGAAACACTCTGATGTGCCTTTTTTGGTCTCGTTTGTTGATATTGTTGTGTTCGTTATTAGGAGTAAAATGTGGATGTTGCCGAGGAGAAATTGCTGAATATGTTTTGATGTTGTAAATTCCGTTTATTCTTTTTCAGTTGTTACTTGTGCAATGAATAGTGATTGTTCTGGTGTTTTTATGAGGATTTGAACATAATTTCAGCAATATCTGTTTGTTTGATCTGTTATTTTGATCCTTTTTTTTTCTTAAAACTTCATCTTCATAAAATTTTTCTTGGTTTATGTTTGGCTTAGTGCAGTTGAGAAATTATGAGTGAGTGAGTTGCTTTAGCAAATTGGTGGATCTCATCATCTCATGGTGTGTTTTCTTTCCATTTTCACTTCCTTATTATTACTGCCCAAAAAAAAAAAAAAAAAAAATCTCAGACTTTTTTCTAGATTTTTTTTTTTCTGGCAGTCTATCTTCAGATTGGGCCGTCATGCATGCATTGTTATATGTTCTTCAGGCTGACGACTTTTCTATCTTACTTTCTAAAAATGTTATTTTTTGTATCATTTATATAGTTTGATCTATGTCTTTGCTCAGTTACTAAACTGCAAAAACTTCATAAGAAGAAGTTGCAAGGAAGAATGTTATATAATTGTTGAGAATTTGTTTCTTCTACTGTTTTCTTGCAGATATAGTGCTTATCGTACCATCGTTCTTATAGATTCTTCCCATTTATTTTGCTTTCCTCTCTCTTCCTTTTAGTTTTCACTTTATATGCTGTTTCTCTTTTTTCTGACTGATGGATTTGAAAGGAATTTTTCATTTATTTCTTTCTGTGACCTCTCTATCTTGGATCTATTGTACATAATGGACTAAACTGAATGGGATTAAGGCATATATTATGATTACAGGGCGCAGGTTGTAGGTTGGCCACCAATTAGAAGCTACCGCAAGAACACTATGGCTACAAACCCATCGAAGAACAAAGAAGATGTTGATGGGAATCAAGGTCTTGGGTGCCTCTACGTCAAGGTTAGCATGGATGGAGCTCCCTATTTGAGGAAGGTAGACCTGAAGACTTATTTCAGCTACAAGGAGCTCTCATCAGCACTGGAGAAGATGTTTAGTGGTTTTACTATGGGTGAGCTTAGTTTACCTTCAATTCAATTTGTTCTCTCTAATTTTATCATTTTATAGTTGTACTAATTTTTAATTAAAAGTAATGAGAAAATGTTTATTTCATATATGGTGCGGTCTTATGTATTTGTTTTATGTCACTATTATGCTTATGATGGATGCTCTTACCATCAAATGGTTTGCTAGATTATCATTTAGCAAGGATCTCTTTGGCCAGACTTTTCATTTTATTTTTTGTTTTTGTTTTTTGTTTTTAAATATGTTAATGAGAGAATAAAACAAGTTTGGTAAGTTTTTTTTTAGAAATTAATTGATTTCTTTTTTAAAAATACACAAAATATGCTTTAGGTATTTAAAACTTTTCAAAGCAAATTTTTCCTCCAAGCCAACTTCGTTTTTATAACTCACCCTTATACTTGTTCCCTATGCGAATCCCTAATTCTAGAGTAAGCCATCATGGAAGATCAATTGGTGAAAGTTCGGGTGCCATGGTGATCCTTGATCTTAGAGCTGCTTGTTTGCAGTTGCAATCAACTTACATTAGTTTTGGTGTCATGGAAGCCTGTTGATATGGGGGCAACCTCCGATGCTCGATATGATAGCCTGGGGGAAGGATATAAACTTGCTCGCACCAAGGATGAGCCCCAATTTGTCGCCAGGTTTGGGAACTTTGTGTTTGACTCTGGTGGTGACCTAAAGCCCGATGCATTCCTCCATTTCAACCATCCAACTTGAATTCTGTCGATAATATCCCCATCTATTTCACCATCACTCTAAAATAGATGTAGAAGTGAAAAATATATTAGTGTCGAAATACCAAATGGTTGACCCTCATCCATTTGCTTAAATATTTCGAAAATATATGTATTTGCCTAAACTTTGGTTTCCTTTCATTCAAACTCCTCACTGGTTCTGCCTTGCTTTCTTTTATAGTCACATCAGCTTACATATTTATAGCTTTTATATAAAAATAAGTTGCATCTTTGCCTTGCTTGCATGATTTCTAGAAATGTGGTTATTCAAGTTGGAAGAATGTTTGTTCATGGTTCTCTGTGTGCCATCCTCAAGACCTTACAAATGCACTATTCTTTACTTTTGCTGTTGAGTTGGAATTTTCTTTTGAACAAATGGCCAATGTTGTGAGGAGTTTACTTGGACCTGTAATTTGTTGTGCTTCAGGCCAGTGTGGCTCTCATGGAATTCCTGGTAGGGATGGACTAAGTGAAAGCTGCTTGATGGACCTTCTTACTGGTTCTGAGTATGTGCTTACATATGAAGACAAAGATGGAGATTGGATGCTCGTTGGTGATGTTCCATGGGAGTAAGTTTCACCTTTCATTCCTCATCGTTAGTCTTATCTATTCTGAGTCAGCTCCTACTGCATTTAAGAAGTATAAAGTTGTGGCTTATACCATAATGCCATAAATATCATTCAAGATGTTCTGTTTCTTTTTTGTTTGACAGTTTCTAGAATCTTTTGCTCTGTAAAAGAGCCAAAAAAATATATTATAGAATCAGGTTGCGCAGCTGTTCGCATGTAAGAAATTTCAAGGAACTTGTAAATTGTATCTTAAGGGTGTCAATAGTTGATATGACACGAAAACCCGACTTGAACCCGACCTAGTTTTGAAACGGGTCGGGTTCGGTTTGACCCGACGGGTTTCCGGGTCAACCCAAAAATCCGTTTAAAATGAGCTGACCGCGCTGCCCGAACTTGCCCGCGAGCCTGCTTGCGCGGCCGCCCAAGCCTGCCTGCGCGCCCGCCCGAGCCTGCCCACGGCTGCCAGCACCCGCCCACGTTGCGCCCGAAGTTGCCCGCCTCTACGACGGGTCCGGTCAACCCGCCTAAATGACGGGTCGGGTCAAGGTCCGGATTTACGACCCGTTTACATGATCTGGTTGGGTTAGGGTCGACCTGTTTGAACCTGGGTCAATTTTGGGTTCGACCCGAAATCCAGTTTTGACACCCCTAATTGTATCTAAGGCATCAATTCTATAGCCTTGCATTTATTGCTATGTTAATCTGAATTTGTCTCTGAAACTAATCTGTCTGCTATAATAATTTTCCATGTTTGATAGTCTTTTTTCACATGAATTTCAGAATGTTTATCGACTCTTGCAAGAGGCTGCGGATTATGAAAGGTTCAGATGCAATTGGACTTGGTATGGATTATCTCTGAATTAGTTTTCACTAACCTATTTGCTGAACCTTTGAGCTTTTTTTCCTTTTTATAATAATCTGGATGAACCTCTACTGACATTGTTTATATTATTAAAAACTTTTCTGGCATTCATTGCTGTCACTGCTCTGTATTATGCCAATATTATAATTGAATTCTATTCATATACCTCTTACTGACAATAATTCATATATCTCAATTTGTCATCCTTATCCTCACTGCAAAATATACAAATAGTGTGTGTGGCGGTTTATACTTCTGAACTGAAATATATATATTTTTGGGAACGGGATATCCAACCGCTGCCACCCCCGAGAGGGTGGTTGGCGGCATGACAAATCCTTAGCTGACCTAGAAGAGACACTCACCCCCAGAAACCTCCTGGTCCGAACATGATTGGGGCCCATCTAAGAGGCGCTGCCGCTCGAGGGGAATCGAGCACGGGTTGGGGGGTTCCGAAGTGAAATATATTGCCTGGAATTTGAACTTCCATCAATCTGGAAGACCTGAAACTGTTATGCACTTTTAGCATTATTACAAGATATTATCTGATACTGTAAATTCCTCTCTACAGTTTCCTTATTACACTATACCAATTTTCATGAAACCTTATGCTCATTGAATACTAAATTGACCGTTATGTCTCTTCTTTTAACAGCTCCAAGAGTGATGGAGAAGAACAAAAATCGAAACTAGAATCACCATTGCCGAGATAACAATCCAAGTGTTAATATGAAATGGCTGCAACTATCCCTCTTAAAACCGAGTAGTTCAAGTGTTTAAATTGGGAACTGTCTTGTAAACTTATATGTTATGGCTTGTTTTCTTACATTTACTGCCTGTCTGAGAGTATACTATCAGATCAAAATTGTGTCTTCAATGTATCTTTGTATGCTTGCACCTTATATTCTATTTTGTGTAAATGATTGCTGGTTTGCCTCACTACTGTTTGCATTTTCTATTTTTTTCTAAATATTATTTCTCATATGAATCTATTATTCATTCCTCCTTGTTTTTGTTTACTTGGGCTTCCTTTTTTCATAGACAAGTTGTAGAGAGGTTATTTTCACGACTCGAACAATGGGGATAATTGAACAACTGCTTCTAACTTCGTTTGGGTTGACTTTTTTATTGCTTCTTAAAACAGTTTTCTAGAATAAAAATTCTATCCTTCTTTTTTTCAAGTATTATTTCTCATATGAAACTATCATTCATTCCTCTTTGTTTTTTGTTTACTTCGGCTTCCTTTTTCATAGACTACTTGTAGAGGGGTTGTTTTCGTGACTCGAACAATGGGGATAACTGAACCATTGCTTCAAACTCGCCTTTTAGGTTTCGTTTGGGACGAATTTTTCATTGCTTCTTAGAACAACTTTCTAGTTTAAAAATTAAAATTTTTATACTAGAAAGTTGCTTTAAGAAGCAGTAAGAAAGTTGTCACAAACAAATCGGCTTCATTTGAGACAGCTTTTATTGCTTTTTAAAGCAGTTTTTTTGTAAAAAAAATTTTAGTTAAAGAAAATTTTATATTAAAAATTACTTCAAAAAAAGTAAGAAAATTATCCTAAATAAAGCCAAAGTCTTCCCAATCGTTCTTTCTTTGTGCTTAATTTTCGAAGTAATTTATGCTTTGGTTGATTTAAGTAATTCTCACATAAGCTGGTGCTTGCTTGGTTGATGGATGCTGCATTAATGCATTTAAAGTTGAAATTCTGTGGGTCTGATGATGATGCATACTGTATTGATGAATCAGTCTTTGGATGGTAAATGGGTTGGGTAGGCCCAATCTTGTCGGGTCAAGTTGGGTGGGTTGGCTTGGGCCCGATGATGTTTGACTCTTTTGACAGTTGAAAATATACGGGTTACAAATACTCTTTGAGTCCATTTTTCAATGATGGCATATTCACATTCTTTTTATTATAAGGATCTCTTTTTGTTTTGTTTTATTGAATAAAATGGATTTTATATTACAAGGTTGGGTCATTATTTAATTAAAATGTTTAGTTTTTTTAATTAAATATTTAATTCTCCCATTTTTCATAAAACCAAAAAGAAAATTAACCAATTAAAAAAATTCTAAAACGATAAGGCAAAAATTAGCCTTTATTTTTCAATAAGAAAGTTCAAATTTTTCTTAAATATATAGCACATAATAAAAATCCTTAAACAATTTAGGATTTAACCTTTATATTCTTAAAAATCTTATTTCTAATATTAAAAAAAAAAAATGCTATGTTCCTTAGAAGTAGCCAAACAAAACGTTCATCTTATGCATATTTAAAAAAATATTTCTCCATTAAAATTTTAAATATTTTTTTATGTTGAAATTTATATCAATCAATTAATCTAAATTTTTAACATTAGTTCTATATCATACTATTTAAAAGTATGATATTAATCCATCTTTTTATCGTACTCAACATATTTCTTTTTCATGCTACATTATATGGAAAACTTTGTTGATCTTAGAGTATGTTGCACGGGTATTAGAAGCATTATTCTTTGATGATTATTTTTAGAGGTGCAAGTAAGTTGAGTCAGCTCGTGAGCTGGCTCAAACTCAACTCATTAACGAGCTCAAAAGTTGAACTTATCGAGCCACGAGTCCGAACTCGATTCTATAATCCAGTTTGTACATTATATGAGCTCGGGCTCAGGCTTAGCTTTGCTTGGCTTATAAGCTTGTCAAGCCACTCATTTTAATCAAAATATATTTCAAAATTAATTTCATAATCATATAATAGATATATACCAAACACTTTTAATTATTTATCGAGTCAAACTCGAGCTTTCCAAACTAATTTGATTAATTCAGTTGAGCTTGACTGAAATAATTGTCGAATGAGCTTAGTTCAAGCTTAGTACATTAGCTCAAATTTGAGTTCAATAAAGATTAAATGAGCTTCTTGATCAGAGAGATAATTGATTGGACTCTACTCATTTACACCACTTATAATAGATGAACAATTTGTTCTAACTAATTTTCAACTATACAACACACCATTGCATAAGAATTTTGAAGCGAACTAGTAATTACCATGATTATAAGAGCTTTCACTATTCAAAAAAAAAGGAAAAATTCTACCTTCCTAAACCCTAAACTAGCTAGATATACAAATAAAAGATTAAAGTTTTGTTTGGGACAGCTTTTTTACTATTTTTAAAAGAATTTTTGTACTAAAAAAATGTTTTAAGAAACAGTAAGAAATCGTCCCAAACGAAGCCTAACAACAACAACAACATCAAGCCTTTATCCCACTATGTGGGGTCGGCTACATGAATCCTTTTTCTCCATTGTGTCCTATTAAAAGTCAAATTCTCGTTTAAATCTAATAAAGAAAGGTCATTCCTAATATTTTCTAACCAAACGAAGCCTAAGCGTATTAAAAATTAAAAACATGTCACATGAAGCTTCTATTGAGTTTCTTAATGCATAGAACTTAGAAGAGTTAGCACATTTAATGCAAGGAATATATAGGTAGCCCAAATTATATCTCATCAAAAAATGATGAAATGTGACCAAATTAATTAGAATGAGATGTTTGCCAAAGTGGAAGATATGATATAGAAGAAAGGGGGCATGGTGCAATTTATGGATGGCATGTGGACATAGCATGGTGTTAGGGAGAGAGATGGTGGTGGGTGAGGGGACACCATCCCATTTATCATGCATCTCTAGAGAGAGAAAGCACCCCTTTCTCTCTCTCTCTCTAGAAGTTTAGTAGGTATAGGCAATGTTGAATTGTGAGGTGATATAAAATATGATATAAAGTTTTCATAATTTAATTATATTTTAAGGATTTGTTTAGGTGAATGTTTTTAAAATGCATATATTATAGAAATATTGACTCATTGGAATGCATACATTTTAGAACATATGAGTTGCTTAGTTGGATGCAAATCAAAATATATTTTTGTACGTTTATTATAATACAACTCAAATGCATTGAAATATAATGGCGGTAGTAACCGGTGGTAGGTTGGCAGTGCTGGCGGACGACTTTGCAGATGTCGTTCTCTGGTGGGGAGGTGAGGTGATGGGCTGTTAGTTTTTACTGTATTTGAAATTTGTCAAATTTGACCAATTTCATATTAAAACATCTTTTAGAACATATGAGTTGCTTAGTTGGATGCAAATCAAAATATATTTTTGTACGTTTATTATAATACAACTCAAATGCATTGAAATATAATGGCGGTAGTAACCGGTGGTAGGTTGGCAGTGCTGGCGGACGACTTTGCAGATGTCGTTCTCTGGTGGGGAGGTGAGGTGATGGGCTGTTAGTTTTTATTGTATTTGAAATTTGTCAAATTTGACCAATTTCATATTAAAACGTCTATTTTTTCTAACTTGAACTCAATTAAATAATCTTCTTTATTTATATTTTGAAGTACACTTTTTTTTACAACATTTTATAATAAAAAATAACAAAAATCAAAATTTAATTAAATTCATACAATTAAAATTTTATGATGAAGTTAAATAAATAAATAAATAAACTTGCTATAAATTTTTAGCATTTTTAGTAACTATTCAGGCCAGATCCTTAGGGATTTGTCCTCAAAACCTACAGCGTTTTAATAATGGATTAGACATCACACGCAAAGCTAGTGGGGGAGGAAAAGTCAATGCAAGTGACTGAGGAGTTAGAACCCAAAGTTAGCTGCCTAAGGCTTATCCCATTTTATTATTTATTTATTTATTTATTTGTAAGAAATAATATTTAATTGATATGGAAATAAAATATCTATTATTTAAAAAATTTTATCATATGGTAAATTTTTAGGATAAGCTGAGGAAAAAAATTTATAATCTAAGGGAAAAAATATTTAGATTTTCATATAAATTGTATTCATATTGGCTTTAGAATTAATAGATTTGTTTTGAGATTAGTGCAATACAACTTCTTCTCATATAGCACTAATCTTAAAACAAAATCAAATGATGTTGTTTATATCATCAAAACTTATTTAGATAAGTACAAATCTCGAGGCAAAAATTGAGTTTAAAAACTTTTAAAAATTAAAATTCGGAAACATATAAACATCAATTATATTATACTATTCTTAAATATTCTTATTATTATTACTCTTAAGTCTTAATGTACTATCGATTATTATTATTATTTTAATTCATAGTATATATTCAAATCATGTATAACAAAATCCACATAATCTGATAATATTATCATTTCATTAAAATCTCCTAATTAATTTTATTCATATTGGATACAATTTCTAAGATTTTTTTCATTTTAATATATTTTATTTATATATTTTTTTTTGAATAAAATATATCAAACATATTTAAAAAGTAGAAGGAGATTTTACTAAACAAATGTTGCTTTTGAACTAGGGCACACTTTATTAACTCTATCCATACAATTCTTTTAATAAATTTTTTTAATACCCAATGTTATTATAAGGATTTCATTGTTTATAGATTTAATCCATTTAATATTACCAAATAAAAATATAAAAAAATGGAGTCCTTCTCACATAATTTCTGATATTTAATAAAGATAAAGCTAATTGTTATGAAATCTTGGAGGAATTCTTGAATGCAATAGAGAAGGAAAGGGAGAAGGCAACAGAGAAGGACAGAGAGGAGGGGGAGAGAGGGATGACATGAATTCCTTTATTCAATCATCTTGAAGCAAACCAAGGGTCTCTTTACACCCGCCTACAATACCTATTTATAAGCATTTACACATGGTTTGGTGTCTATGCGGATCAATCTAATATAAAATCGGACCAATGCACAACACGAACAAAGGAGAGCAGGAAGAAAATGAGAGAAACTTTTCTTTGGGACATTAGAGCCATTAAGACAAATTCACGTACACACACATCACATATGTAAGCATCGAACCCATGATCTCTAGGTTAATAGCTAAAACCCCAACCAATAGACCAACTTGAGCTGAGTAACTGAAAAAAACTAAAAAGAAACAATATT